TCTCATTCACTCACTTGATTGCTCGGTCAGACAACTCGTGCAGAGGCAGACAAAGAAAAAGAAGAAGAAGAAGAAGAAGTGAATTCGGTTCAATGAGCCGCGACGGCAACACTAGTAGTCCAGACGGCGACGGCAACAGGTAACAACAACACTTTACTACTGTTCATTTTTCCAGTTCTGATGATGCACCTACTTCGTGCAGATCATCAGTGTCCGTCGTTAAACAAAGAAAGAAAGAGAAAGAAAGAGTTTTCAGATTTGATGTCTTTGCTGGCGATGATGCCGATGCCACCGCCGTGTTCCGTTTTGCATAAAAAAAGTGTGCAGACACATTACAGTACAAGTTCCCCGTGCTCGAAAGTGTGCTCACAGAGTAGTGACAACGGCAGCGGCAAAGATGGTGGTGGTGGCCAATTAATCTAAAAACGTCTACTGCCTGCGCAAGTCGTCTTCAATGGTTCCGGTGGCGCGGCATTTTCTCCTTTCCCCAAACTGTTCCAGACTCAGACTTTTTCCCTTTGCCTTTTAATGAGATGAACGCAATTAAAGGTGCCACTGAAGAATGGTGGTCGCAAGCAGCATTCTACTGCTGCTGTTGCTGAGACAACCTTTTCCCACTTTACCACCAGACTGTTGCTCGTTCTGTTTCTTTGTGTGTCCGTTTTTACGATTGTCGAGGAAGAGAAGAGGCAGTTGCATCTGCGACCGGCAACGAGACACTGACTTCACCTGCACGCACTGCTGTCATCTCTTGTTTTTACTCCCTTTCTCTCTCTCTCTCTCTCTCTCTTTCTCTCATTCACTTTGTAGAATTGTCATTTTTTCTCTGCTCAAAACAGCAGCTGTCTATGTCGTTGTTGGCTTTTCATTCTTTCTTTTACGCTATCGTTCTCGCTTCTCTGCGTAGTTTGTTTTTATAATGCTCTTTAATTAAGGCTTTTCATAGTGGTAGTGGCAAGTAGCCACACCTAAGAAGGTTGTTTTCGATTTTTGTTTTTTGGAAAACGGTTTTGTATTAAAATGTGGCAATGAAAAGTCAAATTTAAATTTAAGCTAAACAAGTTAAAAACAATTTATTACAATTAAACTAATTTTTTAAAAAAAAACAATAGCAGGGTAATTTCTATTATTAGAAAATTGTTGAATTTTTAAGTTGAAAAACTTGTAAAAGTTTAAAAACAATTTTTTTGTTTTTGTAATTTTGACTAAAAAATATTTTATTAAATTAATTTAAAAATAGTTTCATAATACAAATAATTAAAAGTAACTTTTAGCAAGGTTTTTGTAATCACAATAAAACGAAGGCATTGCCCTCTTTTGGTTAAAATCTTAATTTTTTTCATTAAATTTTTTTATGTTTTAACAATTATTCAATTTTTTTGTTGTAAAAGTTTTAATAATATTTTTTTATAATTTAATTATTATTTATTGTATTTTGTAAAAGAAATTAAAAATTTAAGTAACAAAATGCTTTACAGTTTAAAAAAACTAAAAGCAATTGTTAATTATGTTAAAAAAAACAAAATATTTCAAGCTTATCAAAACAATACATGTTAAATCGATTATTTTAATTTGTGTATCACATTAGGTAGTGTAAAACAATAGCTGATTTAACTGAAACTTATTTTAGCATTTTAATATTAACATAATTATTTTAAAAACTAAAAAGTTTTACGTTTGTTGTAACCACTAAACCAACTTTTTTTTAATTTAAAAATGTCGTTAACTCAGTTTTATGAAAATAATAAAAATGATGTTTTAATAAACTTTATGGAAAAAAGAAAAAAGTTTTTAGTTTTAAATGATTTACCTGTTTCATCAAATTCATCTGTTTTTAAATTTGTTAATTTAACATATTTTGCTGCTCAAAATCATCCAAAAAATATATTTGCTTCTACAGCTTTTTCAGTTCCTAAACTATTAATAACCGATTGTTCAAAACTTTCAAGATCTTTTTCAGAAAAAATTGTTTCAAGGAACAAAAGTATTAGTTGGACTTCTGAATCTGCAAACATAAATTCCTTTTGTTTAAAAAATACCAATAAAACATATCCGAATCACAATAAATGTTTAGAGCACTCTTCACAAACCCAAAAAAGAACTTCAACTCTTAAAAGAAGCACATCTTTATTACGCACAAAACCCATAATTAATAAAAAGTCAACAAATAAATCTCTATTTACAAAAAAATTTAAAACAAATTATAAAAAATTAATAAAAACAGCTAAACAAAAATTTGATAAGTTTACAGCTACAAACAACTTAAAGTCTTTACCGCAAAACAATTTTAATAAACATAAACCTTTCACTGATAATGTTAAACTAACAAAAATTAAACTTAAACAAACCAAAAAAGTTCAAATAAAAGTCAATCAAACATCTGAAAATTTCTGGCCATTGGAAACAAGTAACAATGATTGTGACATAAACTTGTCAAAATCTGAAAATAAATTAGTTACACAAAACAACCAGAAATTAAAAAACAAAATTAATTTGGTTCATCGGCCCAGTAGTCGACTTATTCGCATTTTTTTCCCAGGGTCACAAATGTCTGCAGTAGTAGCTGAACCGGGACAAACAGTTCGTTCTACTTTAAAAAAATCTTTAACTCGTTGTGGCTTACATCCTGAATTTTGTGCTATAGAAACAAAAGACACTGGGTGAGCCGGGTAGTTGATGAACAAAGTTTAAAATAAAATTAATTTTTTTTAATAATTAATCAAAACAGAGAACTGGTTAACTGGGAAAATGATATTGCATCTTACTTTGGCAGAGAAATTATTGTTATTAACGTTCTTGAGAATGGTTATCCAAGTCCGCGCATTTCACACTCTTTAGTATGAAAATAATTTAAGTTTACAATTGTCAGACTAACAAATTTAATGTTTTTTAAAGATCAGTTTTAAATTCAATCCAAGTAGTTGTGTTTACTGCTCAAAATACCTTTTTAATGGATTAACTTGTAGTAGATGCAATATTCGATTTCATGAAAAATGTGTTGAAGGAGTTAAAAAAGAAATTCCGTCATGTAAACCAACATTGGCAACCGAAAATAACCTTATTTGTCATTTACTTTCACAAAATAATAACTATTTAAATACAAATCATCAAAGTGGTTTTTGCAATGAATCCAAAGAAAAATTATCTAGTAATCTAACTACTAAACAGGTATTGCTGTGTTTTTATGTAATATTTAAAATTAAAACTAATTTGTAGTTTTTTACTAGTTTCAAATTAACTACAAAGAAGCAAAAAATGAAGTTTTGTCTGAAAACTTAAACCATAAAAGTCCGCAACCACTGATTAAACTAAAAAAGAAAACGAGTTTAAAAATCGAAGACAAATTTGAACCTACTTTGCCAATTATAAACGAAAATGACAATTACATTAACACAACTGATAAGAAAACAATTGACACAGTAACTCAAAACAAAAATATAGATGAAAATCTTAGAACTCAAAATTTTTTTGATCAACAGATTAACTTTGAAAATGACAATAAGTTTGATAAAGATCTAGTAACTTTTGAATGCGATTCTAAAAAAGATGATTGGGCAATTGATTGGAAACTAATAAAAAAGGACAAGCTTGTTGGTACGGGTACTTTTGGGGAAGTTTTTAAAGGAACTTGGCACGGACCAATTGCAATAAAAATGTTAAGACGTTCGAATCCAACTGATCAGCAGTTTAAAGATTTTCAAAATGAAATAAACATTTTACGAAAAACCCGTCACGCTAACATTGTTTTGTTTATGGGTCATTGTAGGAAACCTTTAGCAATTATTATGCAATGGTGCGATGGACGATCATTATATCGTCATTTGCATGTAGATGAAACGCATCTAGAAATCATTCAAATACTAAAAATTTCTTTACAAACCAGTGTAGCCATGGACTACCTGCACTCAAAACACATTATTCACCGCGACCTAAAATCAAATAGTAATATCACCATTTTTCAAAGTTAAATACTTTATCTTCTAACCAAACATTATTTTTTTTCTAAACAGACATTTTCTTAACAAAAAACTTTACTGTTAAAATTGGCGATTTTGGTTTATCAACAATAAAAATGTCTACAGAAACTGATACCATACAGTATATGTACCCAACCGGCTCAGTACTTTGGATGGCACCTGAAGTTATGCGAGCAGGCAGTAATTCAATTGACCCTTATACAACCAAATCAGATGTTTACGCTTTTGGAATTGTTCTTTTTGAGTTAGGTACACAGACATTGCCTTTTAATAATTTTTGCCCTGAAATGATCATTTACAATGTGGGCCGCGGAAATCCTGTTGGCAAAATAAAACTGACAAACATGCGTAAAGATGCTCCAAAAGGGTTTATTGATTTGTTGAATAAATGTGTAGAGTTTAACAATGAATCTCGTCCTGATTTTAAACAGGTTTGTCAATCAAATTGAATAAACAATGAATCATTAAGCTTAAACAAACTAAAATTAATTAAAATTTAATTTGTAGATACATAAAATGATTCAAAATTTAGGCAAAAAAATCCCAACAGTTAGTAGAACATCTTCAATGCCAACGCATAAAGCTGGGACGGATGATTTGGATAAATATGAAAAATATTTTATTTCTAAAAGCAACTACTGGGATTTTCAACCATTTGATTATTCAAAAACTGAATATTAAAATTATTTTAACAAACATTAAAAAAACAAATATTTTTTAATTTAACTTAAAACAACTTTTTTTTCAATTTAAATACTAAATGTTTTTTAAATTATCACAATATTTTCACAATACAACATTTTAAATTTTACATAAAGATTGCAAGGATGCAACAAACAACTATTATCAAATTGTTCGCCAAAGCAACAAACGGCGCTGAATCAGGAATCATGCTTTCAGGAGCATAAATTCGTCTGTTGCCGATTTCTTGAATGTGCCGATAAAAGCCAATAAACTGTTCATTAAAGTGTGACAGCATTCGGGCTTTTTTCCCAACCGATGTCTGCGTGTTCGATTCATTACCGTGGTGAGTAACTCTAAAAATGATTTCTCGAAACTTTTGCATTTGAATAGCGTCAATGACGAGGGCGGTTGGGAAGATGATCCACGTGACCACTTCTTGACAGCCTGGCGTTGTGTATGAGCCCGAATAGCGATAAAATCGATTCAATTCTTCAGTTGGTGGCATCAGACTGTCCAGTCGAATTGGCTCGTCGAGGATGGTGCTTTCGTGAGGGTTGGCTACTTGGTCAAGATGGCCGATTATGGGATCGATTGCCAAATTGTGAATGGTTGTTTCCTGGTCAAATAAAAAGTGCGTTGGTTTAAACTTAAAAAGCATTGTGTTTGCATATTAAAACTTACATTAAAGAAAACGGCAATAACGGCAAAGGCATCAGGTGATTTGAGGACAATCTCAGAATCGGTTTCCTTATCGTACTTAACATTTTGATGAACTAAATGCATCTTTGTGAAACAAATAAAAAGGTATCAAATCAAGTTTAGTGTTGTATTTTTCAGCTCTCACCTCCATTGAAAACTTTTCCCCATCGATGGCGTGCTCTGATCCTCCTGAGTGAGCATTACGCCAGTGAAAGTGCAATTGCAGAAACCGGTAAGTGTCGCCAAAGAAAGCACTGCCTGTAGTGAAACTTTGGAATCGTTTTCCTGTTAGATGAGACGCCTCCAGTTTAATGGTGTGGCCATTGTTGGTCAGCTTCATATTATGATAATCACGATCGTAATTGATCAAAGTCATTTGTAAATCAGGCAAGTACACAATTCGTTCACGTATAATGTTTATTGGAGACTGGGATTTGCCTTTGCAGGATTTGAAATTTTTCTCCCAATGATATTCGCCATTGGGGCCCCAATACTCCCAATCGACATCTATGACTAAATAACCATACATAAATTAAAAAGTAAAAAACAATTTTATAGTTTACCTGATTTATTATTTGGTTTTACTGACGATGGCGATAACTTAAATCCTTTTACAGATTTTTCTGTTTTATCAACTGCACTTTTGTAACCACTTGGGCCACTAATGACCGTTCTCATACAAATATTTGTTGGTTTGCAAAAAAGTACAATTAACAATAAAACAAAACATTTTTTTAAAACTAACAACATTTTGAAAAATTGTTTAATAAAATTTTTAGTTAGTCACAAATGAGTTTACAGAAAGTGAACTTGTTATTATCACCAAAAAATATATAAAAAATTTCACAATTAAATAGTTTTTATGCAAATCTTTTTTATAAAACTTTTATTTCAGTTTGAGATTTCGAATATGCATTTATATAAAATTTAAACAAACTTTAAAATAAATAAAACTGCGTTTTTGTAACTTTTGAAGATATAACAAAAAACACAAAAAATATTTTTAATGTTTTTAAATTTAAACTACTGTCAAAAATGTTATTTTATTTTCTGTTTAATAAAATAAAAGCAAATTCACATATAAAACATAAAAAACAATAAAAAAACTAGAAAAAACATGGCAAATATAAAATAAAAATGATTCATAAAAACAAAAAATTTAGTTTTGTTGGCATTTGACGTTAACATATGAATTTAAAAATTGATCGAGTAGCAAGGCCAAACATTGTAGAAAAGTTGCAATGGATCGATCATTTGCAAAACTGCCGGTTACAATTTATGTTCACAAAGTTTCCTTTGTGCATTAATTTTATTAGGGTTTTTATTTACTTTGCAACGCCAGATGAGCAAACCTCAAAAACACAATAAAGGAATTTTTTGAATATAAAACATTTGCACCTGTTATCAGTAGTAATAATTGAGCGTGTAGAGTTAAATATTTTGCACTAAAATGTGTTAAAAAGTGCGAATAAATAAAAAATCATTAGTAACTTGTGTTTATTAAGGCCACACTCAAGAGAAAAATGTTGGCTCTCCTGCGCTTTTTTACAAAACATGTGTTTCAATGAGGATTGTTATGATTTTTGTGGTACATTTATCTCAAGAACTACAAATCAGATTAAGATTATGTAAAAAACAAAAATAAAGTTAAAAACTTAATCTAAATTTCGTTGGTTAAATTTTTAAGAAAAAGTTGGTTAAAATTATAAAAAGACAAAATAAATCCAAGAACATGTGAAGAGCCTGCCAAGGGCTACTGACCATCAGCTACTTGAAGTGACTGTGCGTGCCGTCGATCGACTTCTATCGGTAAGCAGTTTTCTTGCGCTTTACAAAAGAGGGCAGGTGTGGGATGGTTTTCATTGGTGGCTGTTGAAGAAGTCATGTCCACTGCAAGGCGGACGTTTCCAAGACGTGCGAAGCGAGCGTCACTGGCAGAAACGCGATTGTAGGGGCGGTTAGAGTTTGGGCAATGGGTCGAAGCTGGGGCTGATGGTTTTGGGCAGATGACGGCCAAATGGCATTCTCCGCACTTGAAGCAGGTGCGGAGTTTGGGCGAAGGGTGTCCGTGTGAGCGCAAAAAGCTTCCACAGTGGTCAGTTGAGCAAGAGCTTTAGCTAAAAAGTCGTACGGGGGTAGGTTGCCTGTTTTGTTGTACACAGAACGGAGCTCTTGGATCTTCTTGTGGAGCTTGTTCACTAGAATTTTCAATTCTTTGTTGTGCTTTTCCACCTCAAGCACTTGACTTTCCGGGCGAGCATTAGCGTCCCAACGCCAATTTTGATGTCATTGGAAAGCTAAAAGCAAGAGGTAACTGTTGGTCTAGTCTGTTAAACCCCAGCACGTTTGCGTTTTCTGCCAGAAACCGTAAAATAAGTTTAAAATTTTATCAATGTTTTAAAAATATGTTTTTGTAACTTCTAGTGATTGTACAAGAGGTGTATGGACTACACAACTAAGTTTATCCGTTACTTTGTTTCATTAGCTTTCCAATGACACCAAAATTGGCGTTGGGACGCTAAAATTATGTCAAAAAAAATTTAAAAATTTGGTATATTTTGTACAATTAAGTCAAAATGATAGCACTTTTTATGACAAATTTTAACCTTTTGTGGCCAAATAAAAAAATTTCACATAGTTTTGAGCCCTAAAGAATCGAATGAAACTAAATTCAAGTCAAAATACCAACCGGAAGTAAAAAGTAAAAACCGGATTTTTGACTTCTGGTTACTTTAAAAAACATTAATTACTAAAAACAAATTTTTTGTATTTAAAAACAATTATAAAAATTAAGAAACAAAAATGCTACAGTAGTCAAAACAGTCAAAAAACTGTTTAAAAACTACCAAAAAAATTTTTTTGGTACTCTGGTTCCTAGATTGTAAATAAGATAACGAATTCAAACAAACTAAAATTTTATTAACAAGTACACTTTTCTAGTATTTAATAAAAGTACTCTTTTAAAAAAATATTTATTTTTAAATTAGATAAAAATTGATAATTAGATAAACACTTAGTGCCTCCTTGCGGAAAACCCAGACGTGCTGGGGCTAAACGGCTTAAACCATCTCATTTTTTTGTCCTAAGCTTTCCAACGATACCAAATTTGTGATTGGGACGCGACTTTTTTGCAGAAACGCTTACCGTGATCAGGAGCGAGAGATTTGCTTCTTCAGTGGGTTATTAATCGGCGATTACAAAATGCTCTTTCCATTTCACTCACACTCGTTGAGTGGAAAAAAAGCAGTCAGTAATACAAAACAAGCAAAAGCTCCTACAAGTTCGAAAGAGGCGCTTTCTCAGCTAGCAGCCGAACAGACAAACCAATGATAACGCACAAGTGCCTTTGGTTGAGAGTCAGTTACCGCTTTACAGCGTTTCTCATTTTGAGGGGTTTAGGCCAGGCCAGATATCAACTGAAGAATGGACTTTGCACCTACATATTTTAGTTGAAAAACTATTTGAATTTAGGTTGCAAACGTACAAAAAAAATAAAAAAAATTGTTTGTTAAAATTATGAATTTTGTTATGTAAATTTTTAAAAATATTTAAAATTCATATTCGTTTTCACTTTTTTTAAAACACAAAAATATTTTCAATAACATGTCATTTTTGAACGATTGAAAAATCACGTGATTTTTTGTTGTTATTGTTGTTTTACCTAATTATTTTAAAAATAGTTTAAAATTTTTAAGTTTTTGCACAAAACCGACTATTTGTTTACTGAAATAACAATTTTCACTTAAAATATTTTTTCAATTTTAACTAGTCATTTAACTTACCTGTGATCATCATGAATATGTTTGCCCTCAATGTATCTGCGTTTGTATCTGTATTTTCTTTCATATTCATACTGCAACTTTTTACTAAACCTGTCAAAAGAGGGTTTTTCTGTAATGATGTCTCTATCCGCATGCCCTATTACGAAAATGCATCTTTTGGATGGATCACAATTTGGACCATATCATTTGGCATGGCAATGTTGATATTCATAACCAGTCATGCGCTGAACAAATCAAAGGTTTGTTGTAAAAAACATTTGATTAAACTTTAAATAACATTGTTTGTTTAGAAAATGTTTTACCACATTTTTGCAGAATTTGTTCCGTTTACATTTGGATTTTTAGTCAATGTTCTGATTAGTCACTTTGTCAAGACTACAACAGGTCGTTTGAGGCCTTGTTTTATTGAACTGTGCAAACCTGACGCGTTACAGTCTCAATGTCTGCTTACACCAAACTTGTACACCGAAGATTTTGAGTGTACCTCCGGTGAATACTCGGACGTCTTTGCTCGAGGCAGTTTCTTCTCTGGTCGAGCCTCATCAATTGCTTTCAGTGCTGTGTACCTGTTGTGCTATCTGCAGCATCACCTTCCTCAATTGCCCACATTTGCCCGAGCTTTTTGTCAGCTGTCACTGGTGATCATCGCCTTTCTGCTGAGCACCAGTTCGCTCTTTGACTACCACCACTTTTGGGAGGACATTTTGGTGGGCGATTTGGTGG